TTTCCCTAAAGAAAGCAAACTGGTATCCTGTGCTGGGCTTTGCAGCAGGGGAACACGTGGGTTATCCATGAGGCTGAAACTGTAAATGGCTTTTTCAGGGTGTGAATGGGACGCTCAGTTTTTCAGGCACAGTAAACCCTCATCAGGAGGGAGTATAAATTGGCACCACCTCACTGGACCTGCTTCACACCGTGGCTGCAGCCTCCAAAGCCCCACGGTGGTGATACCAACAGAGAGAGATGGGGGAAGTCAAACATGCTCAATCCACCCCAAAATTCAGGGGCAGCTGGCCTGGAGACAGCCCCAGCCCTGCCCAAGCTTCAGAACAGCTCCTGGAGGGGCTGGCAGGTCCCAGCTGTGCATTGTGACATTGCTAAGGGTGGATGCCAGCTGGAAGGACTGCATGGATTTGGGCAGAGCTGCCCTCTCCCAGGGAATCACACGGGCCTGGAAGCAGGAACAAACTTCCCATGGCATTTCTCTTGCTGCTCTGAGGTGCATGGTGTGTGCAGAGGCCAGCGCCAGCCAACGCATCCCTCCTCCCTCACGACTATTCCTGGGCCCCTGCTTGCTTTACAAAGCACAAAAACCTGATCAAATGCCTGGATAGAACACAACACACACACAAAAAATCCAGCTGTTGTACAGATGTGAAAGGACAGAGAGCCTTTTGGTTCTGTCTCTTTTTAAAACAAAGCAGCTCCTCCGCTTCTCCAGCCTCTTAAGCGCTGTCACAGCCTGTCCCCCCCAGGGCACAGAACAAATGTCCTCCCCATCCTTCAGGGCTGGAAGCCCATCTGCCAGAGATGTGTTTGAGGCCCTGCACGTGGAATTATTTTTCATCTTCTCTGCGGGTAAAGCGATGTGAGTAAAGCAATTACGGCGAGCATCACAGCTGTCAATAAAATGAGGGACAGTGCTTAATAAGAACAGTTTAATGGTGAACTTGACTTGGAGGCTGTTTTCTCAAGCTGAATTTCTGTGGAGAGGTTGTCAAAGAAGTTCAAGGATTTCCTGCACGCATTTGTCCATTGGATGAACTCAACTTTTCTCTTGGCCTTCCGATCTCTTCACTTTTCCTGATGTGCCCAACTGGAATTGCAGGTAAATTGCACAATTTCTTCAGCTGTTCTGATGGAAAATTGGTACCTGTCTCATGTTTTTTGTGCATTTATAGCTGAAACACATTGTCCTTTGCCCTTTTATCCTGTTGCAAGGCTTTTTGGAAATACGCTCTATTTTCTCCTCTGTTCTGCTCTCCACGTTGTGATACACTAGAAGATATTAAACAACAAAACAGCAAAGAGGATATGTTTTGTATTATTTTGTTTATAAGAACACTCTGGACTGGTAAATAGCTACACCCTTCATAAATGTTTTCAATTTTCCCTTTGAAATAAGAAACAAGTAATGCTTTCAACAAGCAGCTCTTCTTGGTCAAGGATTTTTCTCATTTTAGAGTACACACATAATTTGAAAATCAAAACATTTCCAGAAAACATGTTTAGGGCACGTGTTTTTTTTTTTTAATTTTTTGTTGTTGTTGTTGTTGTTGTTCTTGTTTTGTTGTTGTTGTTTTTTTTTTAAATTTTATTTTATTTAGAGCCATGTGAAATCCAAGCTGTGACTATAAAGGCATGACTCTTCATGATGCTGAGCAGAATATCTTGTAGTGTGGGAACATACAAGGGATCTGTAAAAAGACACAGCAACTCCATAAAGCCATTGCAGGAGAGACTTCCCTTGATTTATTTCTTATTAATTCTGCAGGAAGTGTCTTGTGTCACAAACCAACAGCAGGAGCTGTGTAGGGAAGGGTTGTACTTCAGACACAAGTCAGTGGCGGGGATTATTCCTTGGAAAGAAGTGACCAGGCCATGGCATTTCAGTTCTCCTGCTTTGCTGCTCCCAACAGTATAGAATGATCACAAAAATCTCTTTTTTCCCAGGCTGTGCTTTTTCCCTGGAGAATTCCTGAGAGCGTGCCAGATACTTCGTCCTTTTTCCCAAGCTGGGCACAGATTTGGGATTCTCTTTGACTTCACCATGTCCCAGGCCGTGCTTTTTCCCTGGAGAATTCCTGAGGGCGTGCCAGATACTTCGTCCCTTTTCCCAAGCTGGGAATTTGGGAATTCTCTTTGGGATTCTCTTTGACTTCACCATGAGAGAGCTTGTAAAACTAGGTCCCAAAGTGAGATTAGGCCCAGACCCAGCTTATTCTAGGTTAGTCTTATGTCCTCACAAAGGATTTTTTGCCTTGCTGAGGCTGGGATGGTTTTCTCTAAATGTGCTGTATTGTTCTGGACTTCCAGAGTGTTTTTGCAATCCAGTTTAAGGTCACCTTGAGAGTGGCTGGCCTTGGCAGAGCTGATTTCTGGGCTCAGGCCTTGCTGCTGATCTTGAGCTTTTGACTGATTGCACAAAACATTTTATAGATGAAGCCTGAATAAACTTTTCAATTAAGGTTATAGTAAATAAGATTCTAATGATAAAGCACTTTATGGCAAGCAGACTTTTAGGAACTGGTTGTATTAAGAGGAATGATTTAATTAGAGAATGAGAAACAGGACTGGGGAGACAGGAACCTGACCTCAGCAATAAAATGCACAGAGTTGCTTTTTTTCCTCCTTCTTGGAATCTGGTGTACAAAGGTACAATTAAACAACATGGCAAACATTTCAGCAGGCCAACTCAAACCATTTGTGCTTTTCCTGTCTCTGGGCATCTGCACAGCGTTTTGCTTTGCTTTGCTTTAAAATTCTGGGCCAAATCTGCTTCCTAACCCTGTGTTGGTTTCTCTGGGTCTGGATTGGAGGCACTTGAGACAGTAGTTCACTTTTGGACTCAGGAGTTTATTATTTCTTATCAGTGAAACAGTCTCACAAACATGAGTTCAGCAGCCTTTCATTAGAAGGCACAAAATGGCCAACAATCTCTTGTTACAAGGTCTTTTAAGACTAAACTATCTAATTAAGAAAGGACACCTAGATTATTTTCCCTTTTAACCCAATAACTGATCCCAAAGGGCCCACAATGCAGACTTTCCTGTCCAATTACAAAATGCCACCCAAACCCACGAAGAAGAAACCCAGGACAACACCCTGTGTCTTCCAACTTGCTTCCATCCACAACACACTAAAAATCCCCAAACCTAAATTTCTCACCCAAGTGATCCACCCACACTACTCTCTATAACCTATTTCACACTTTTGTGGATTCTGGTCTACCTTGAAGTCCGGGAAACTTTCTCCACGAATGAGGGTCAGGGTCAGTGCTCCCCTGGGGGTCAGGGCACCCCAGAGCAGACACAGAAATATTCCCAGTGCCCTGGGCTTCCACAGCACTGCAAGGTGGGAGCTGGGCTGGGACCCTCGGGAGGCTGGAGGTGCCCTGGAGCTGGGCTGACCACGCTGAGCTCAGGGCCCTTGTCCAGACTCAGCTTCTGGACACCCCCGAGCAGCACGAGCTGAATTGGAGGATATCTGCAGGCAGGAGGTAATTTGGAAGAGCAGCCAGGGCAGATAGTCTGGGTCACATTGCTGGAGCCAGATCAAGTTGGGATACCAGGCGGGAGGAGGGTGGAACAGAGGAGCAGCCAAACACCTTCACCACCCCAGTGCCAACCTTCATTCCTTTTGCAGTGTTTGATTTGTTGTTTCCTTAGAAAACCAGGCTGAGCTCCCAGCAGCAGATCATTTTCAACCTGTCTGAGCTAGAAAGAAAAGGCTTTGTCCCAAAAGTGGATATTTCCTGTACCACTGGACATGCTGAGTGGTGTTTGCATTCTTCTTATTCTTCTTTGTCTTTCTGCAGGAGGAATCCTGGCCAGGAGCAGAGCCTGGACACTTGGATGCTGCTGCTGAGGTGAGAATGGGATGGCCTCTGGATTGCTCATGAGCCAAGAGGGCTGGGCAGAAAGGGATGGATGCAGGGAGGATGAATCAGCATCTGTGCCTGCTAGCCTTTAACCAAATTTGGATGTTCTGCTCTACAGGATGAGTGGCATTGTCCCAGTTCACCTGGTGGAGCTGCAAGATGAGACCCCCTGGGCTAGAAAATATTTCCATTTACTTCACTCAGCTCCTTCATCCAAGTATTGAAGCCCTACACTGGAGGTTACACAAGCTGAAGAGACTTAGACAAAATTGAAACATGTGCTTTTTCCTGGGCAAACACTGAGTAATGATTGCACTGGCTCAGGGGAAATGCCCTGGTCTGAGGGCAGCACTTCTCAGCTCCAAATCAGCTCATGTTTGTGCAACTTTGATGCCGTTTTGCAAAGTTTACTTTCTCAAATGAGAAAGAAACGGCCAAAAATATTATGATTTTTACAAAAAATCAAGTTGGAATAGGCCAAGTTAAATGACAATCTCCCCTTGGCATGGAGAAAGGGTGATGCAATTAGCTGATTTTTATTAAGAAATGAGCAGAAAGGTGTGAATTTGATACATAACCCATTTCTGGCCAGAAACATCATGGCATGGAGAGCAGAAAAGATAAACAGCTACATGCTTTAGCAAAAATGACCTGTGTCTCTAGTCAGATAATTCTCAAATATAAGACTTAAGAAATGAAATCATAGGCTAAAATAAATCTCCCTAATTTATTTTCCTTCCCTTTTCTGCCAGTTTCAAGTTCCCTTCAAATTCCTTCTCCCATTTGCTGAATTTTTCTGTGGCAGAAATCTGGCCTGCTCTTTTGCAAACCAGAGCAAAAGGAATGCTTTCAAATATCCCAGGCAGATAATTTTCTCTTTGCTGTTCTCTTGATGATGTTAGAAAACACAAACTGCCTTTGTGAGACCTCTGCTACTGTCACCATGTGGGAAGAACCATGGTACTCTCCAGGAGATGACATATAAAATTCAGAATGAGTAAAAATTAAAAAAAAAAATACAAACTGCTGATGCTTTGAGAAAACCCTGTGTCTCTGTGTAAACCTCTGAGTTTGGGGTTTGGGATTTGTTTTCATTTTCCCCAGGGGATCCATGAGGTGCCTCACGAGAAGCACGAGGTCTTTGCTGAGCATCATCCCTGGAGAACAACAAACATCCCTGGGGACTCCACAAATCCTCTATTGGCGGCTGAGAGACCAGAGAAGGACCTCAGCCTTTAATTGAGGTGAGGAAATTCTGCATTATGGGAGGAACGAGGAGGCCAATCCAGTTTGAACTGGTGCTGAGGGCAGCCACCTCTGAGGTTCTGGTGTTGGGCTTGGCTGTCCAAGGGACACAGAGGGTTTGGAGGGATCCCACAAATCCCTCCAGGTCCTGTCATCCCCTCTGAAAAGAGGGATTTGATATCTCCAGGAGTCAACATTGCTGCTCTTTCTCACTCTCCAAATCCAAGAGCTGTCCTGCCTTTATTAGAGAAGTGTGGTTTCATTACGTGTCTTTATGCCCATTTTTCATGCCCTGGTGGACAAATCATCGTGTGTGGCTGACCCAGCTGGGCTCCACCTCTCCCCAGAGCTGTGTTTTCCATGGGAGCACATCTGTTCTGGCTTCTCCACCTCTTTCTAAAGGTGTATCAACAAACTGCCCCTGGCTCTGACCTCCCAGCAGGACAGCAGTGCAACACTCACCTCTTCCATTAATTAGCCTTGCATCATTACCTCGATTTAGTGGCAGCTTTGTCCTTTTTATCTCTTTCCTTGGTGGAGAAATGTCTGCAAAATATTTGGGTTACCTATGGTAAAGTATGAAATGTCCCTCAGGATGGAGCCCAAGCTGGCAGGGCTCTGCTGCTTCAGAGGTCTTTGAAATGCAGTTCCTTGTGTAAAAACCAGAGTTGTCTGAGGTCACGTCACCAGAGGTGACCCTGAGAGTTATCTTACACTGAGGCAGCTTCTTGCTTTTGTTGTAGGGTTTTTTTGGGTGTCCCTGGGGCTGTTTCTGGTGGCATTGCACTGCAAGCAGAGGTGCTGGGGGCAGAGCTGCAGAGCTCTGCTGACACAGAAACTTGCTTGAAAGCCTTTTTCCCACTTGTTCTCAGCTGAACAGGGCAAGCACACACAAAACATCATTCTCCTGAAGGTGAGAGCTGATCCATCCACCACAGGCTGTAAGAAACGAGAATAAACCCATTGTCCTGAATGTTTCTCTGTCTTCAGCCTGGAGAACTGATATCATTTATTTCCCATATCACTGCTTGACCAAACCATGCTCTGCTCTAGATTTTATCATTTCCTCACACAATAATAACCAAATCTTTTCAATTAGAGGACATTCCTCTACCAGTGCAGCTGACATCCTGTTTTGCCTTCTGTGCAGCAGCTGCACATGGAGTTTAAAACTTGGGGAATATTTCCTACAATCTCCTAAATCTCCAGTGTCATTTTCCAGCTGTAGCTCCTGTCAGCTGTTCTAGCACCTCCCACCTGGGTGGTGGGATGGATTGCTCCAGGAAACATTGCATGGTTCCACATCACAGAGTAAAACCTTGATTATTTGCATCCTATTTAGGACAGCAGAGCTTGGAACGTGCCCTGAGGTTTGCCTGGCACTGCAGGAGTGCAGGTGCTGCAGGAATTTTGCTTCCACAAAGCTCAAGCAGAGCAGGAGACACAAAAAATGAGTGGTTTTGGGTGAGGTTTGTGCCTTGCACAAAGGATCCATTGGAGGCTGTTGAGGTCGCTGGTAGAGCTTTGGGGGGATTTCAGCTGGTGCCTCAGTGATTTATTTTGCTGCCACTCAGTTACTGAGGGTGAAAATGCCACCCTAATGCCACTGTGCTGCTCAGGGGCAGTAGCAGGATGTGCTGCAGGACAGCAGGAGAAGGAAAAGTGGGCAACTGCTGAAGTAAATGGTGCTGGGTCTTCTCCTTCCTTTTTTAATTGTCTTAAATCCTAAGGCAAATGAAACCCATATTTTAACAACAAAAAAATCTGATTGAGAAGTACAGTTTGGTGCTGATTGGTGCATTTGGACCTCGTGTTCTGCACAGCAGCAGCCTTGCATGTGGGTGGCAGAAAAACCCAAGGAGTGACTCCTGCTGCTCCCAGGGGCTCAGGTGTCAGTCACAGTTTTATGGGCTTAGTGCAAAAACTGCACTGAAAACAGAGTCCCCATGGCAGAATCAACCACATTTGTGTGCCAAATTAAAGTTTTCCCAGAGTTTCTATGACTAAGATATGTTAATATATATTTGCTGCGTGTGTTTAATTTATTTTATATATATATATATATTTTTTTCTGCTGTCTTCAGGATGTTTTCCTGCCAAGGAGGGAAAAAGAAATCCTAACAAATAACAAGTTCATGGAGTGCTTAAATCTGAGGATATGTTCAAGGTATTTGTTGCAAATAAAGCCAAAGGCCTCATGTACTCCTGGGAGCATTCCTGGAGAGCTGCTGGCTGCCTTTGCCTTGATAATGATCTTTATGTGTTTAGCTGTGAACACACATTTCCCATCTCCTGTCGCTGCTTTTCTACATTAGACAAAAAATTCTTGTTCACGTACTGTTTTCCAAAACTGGTTTGGTTTTTTCCCCCCCAGCTGTTCCTTTCTGCTTCCCTTTGAATTTACTGTCATCACCTTTCCCATTTTCACAACCCCTCCAGCCCCAGCTCCCAGCCCCTCACTCACAATTAGTCCCCCCTTTCTACACCATCCTCTGCTCTTCTTTTGTGCAATTTGATGATTTTCATTTCAGCAGTTTTCCAGGAATATCTGGAATTTAACCCTGTCCTGTAAACCCCTTCCTGGTGCAACACCAGCTCAGCCCTTTGCAAGCTCTCCTCTTGTTCCTTTGTAAACACCCAGACCAGACTTGTGGCTCTGCCCAAAGACCTGACTCTGATAAAGCAGAGCAGGATGTTTTAATTAGTTCCACATTCACATTAAAGGGGTTTTTTCCCCTCCACACCCACCCCAGTTACTGCTCTGAACACCAAGCGCAGTCACAGTCAGATTCCCAGGATTTAAATCTCCAAAATTTTGTCTCTGCTCGTGTTCCTTTGTAAACACAGACCAGACTCGTGGCTCTGCCCAAAGACCTGACTCTGATAAAGCAGAGCAGGATGTTTTAATTAGTTCCACATTCACATTAAAGGGTTTTTTCCCCTCCACACCCACCCCAGTTACTGCTCTGAACACCAAGCGCAGTCACAGTCAGATTCCCAGGATTTAAATCTCCAAAATTTTGTCTCTGCTCCAGGCTTGCTGGTGCCCTGCTAGAAGCATTATCCAGCTTTCTAGCTAAGGAATGCCAGATTTTTTCACCCCTCTTGATAAAAACAATGTTTTCAGTCCAGCCCTTTTGCCCTCACCATGCTGATTCTGTGCTTCTCCCCCTGTCCCTTTTCCCAAAAAACCCTGTCTTTGCTGTGCTCAGCACAGAGTGTAACCTCTTATCATGGGAATAAGCTCTCAGAAAAAATTGACAAATATGAATTCTACTCCGTTTGGGCTACAAATTTCTCGAATAAGTCACAAAATGAAAGAACTCCCAATTTATGCTTCCCTTTCTAAATTATGTTTTATTATATAAATGTGATTACACTCCACAGAGCAAGTGAATCCCTTTGCTTTTGTCAGGGACAGGGAGATGAGAAACCTCAGCAAAACAGGAAGAAATGACAAGATAAATAAACCCCTCCATGGGTTTATTGGGTTATCAGCCCTGGGGCACGAAGAGTGCATGAGATGGTATTTTTAAAGTAGCAGCATCCAAAGGTCATTGAAAGTGTCAGGCCTGAGATACAGGTTGGTGATTTCTTGAATTCAGGTGCCTGATCAGAGGGTTTATTGACAGCCAAATATTGGGTTATCCTCGTGGATTATGGAGGGTTTGGTGGAGAGTTTGTTCTTGTTACACTGAATTTATTGTGCAATTTTCTTTGGTGATTCAGCACCCTGCTGCTGGTCTGGGAGCTTTTATGCAGATAAAAGTTATGGGCATGGATTGTAAAGGCTTTGACTCGTATTTTCTGGGGTAGAAATCTCTACCTGGGCAAGAATTGCTAAAATGGGATCTGCATTTGAGGTGCTGCACAGTTAAACAGGATCAGAGCTCATGCAAAGAGAGGTTCAGCTGCAGACTTCAGAGTCAAACCCTGGATGAAGAGAATTAATTTTCTAGTCCATAGATGTAGCAGTCAGAGAAGTTATCCTCTTTATTCTACTTCAGTGAGGATTGTGTTCCCTCTTACCACGGGAATAAGCTCTCAGAAATACTTGACATATACAAATTCTACTCAGTTTGGGCTAGAAATTTCTTGAATAAGTCACAAAACGAAAGAACTCTCAATTTATGCTTCCCTTTCTTAATTATGTTTTATTATATAAATGTGATTACACTTCACAGCAATGGAACACAGCGTACCAAACATCCAGGGGAAAAAATGAGATTGGAAAGAAAACAGGCTTCATCCTTGAGTTGAATTTGGACCTTTTACCTTTTAAATAAAACCATCTGTATTTATATTTTAAAAGTTTGTCAGGGCCAGATGTTGACAAACCCTACTATTTCCTAATCAGTAACCTGGAGGGTGACCCCTTTGTGCAGCCAGGCATGTCCTGAGCCTTCCTATACAAAATAGGGTGTAAGGAGCCAGAGATGGAAATTATTTGCCAAAAATCTTTAGGAAAAAGAAAGAAAAATGAAGGGATGTATACTACTGGGATTGGAGCCTTGGGAAAAACAATCACTCATCCTTGTTGCAATCAGGTATGCTCAGATAACATAAAAATGGGATGGAATACTATTCTGTAGATTAAGAAACTCTTCTCACCAAACTGAAATATTTTTTTCCTTGATTTCAAGCACAAAATTTAAGTTGGAGCTTGGGCTTTCTTTAAGACTGGAGTGTGTTTGGATCCTTGGCTTAGTTCATGCCTACATCCTGATTCTGTTTTAATTTAAGGCAGAAAGAGGAAAATATGTTTTTAGTGCCAGTTAACCAATTCATATTATTTATCTCAAATGAAAACAAGCATAAAGAGAAAGAAGGAAAACCAAGACAGGCCCTCACTAAATTCAGCAATTTTAATTTTAATTTTAATTGAACCCCAAGGTAAACCCAAAGCACCTCTGGGCTGTTGCTATGACCTGGAGGAGCTGGGTGCCCACACAGCAGGTTTGAGTCAGCTGAGGAGCAGTAATTTGTGCCACAGTCCATTCTCCAGCCCAGGAGCTCACTTCTGTGGGGTATTGAGGAGGCTCTGCTGTCGTGTGAGGGGTTGGCCCATGAGAAGCTCACAAACGTGTCCAGTTTGGGACCTGTGACTCCAAACCTCCCTAAAGCTGTGGGTTCCTGAGGCTGGATATGGTGTGGGAATTAGCCACAGCTTCCTGTGCTTGGGTGACCCTCCCTGGGCACCTTTGATCTGACCCATCCCTCTCCTGCTCCTGGACTCTGTTCACCTCTATTTTAGCCCAGCTTAGCTCATGGGGCTTGACCAAACTGAAATGGAAACAATTTTTTTTTTCTTTTCAGTGCAGACATAACATCAGGAACCCTTGTTCAAACAAAATCCTCTTGGAGTGACTGCAATTAAACCAAGAAAGGACGTGGACCTGGTCTTTATTTTTGATCTCTTGCCTCTACAGTGATTCAGGTTGGCTTGGATAATAAAAATAAATCCCTCCTCCTCTTGCCATAAATCAGCATATTCTGGCTTTTGTCCCCAAGAAGAGCCTGTCTGTTCCACTGCCAGTGTTATTCCCAGTTCTTTGTCCCAGTTCTAGGACTGGATTATCTTCAGGGACAGGCTGTAGCCTCGTGGTCCTTCTTGCAGCTGTCAGGAGACTGAGGAGACCTTGGTGAGCTCTTTGTGAGTCATCTCCTTCCTGTCTCCTCTGCAAGCAAACAGTTCTGCACACGAGCTGAGCTGCACAAGGCTTTGTGTTCTGGGCTTTTGGCATTTTTGGCCTCAATTTACTGAAATGTGGGATGGATGGGATGTGTGGAAGGAAAGATGGGGCAGGTGATGTCCTTTGGTGCAGAAACTCCACCCATGCCCAGACCACTCCAATTCCCCCTCTGGTTCCCTCTCCCTTTTCCAGTCCTTGTCCGTGTTCCCTTTCCCTCAGCCTCCATCCCTCCCCAGCACCCCGTGTCTACTTTTAAGATTTTATCCATCTCATTCTTTCAACAGGCAATATTTTCCTCTGGGAACAGTGTCGGGACACCAAGGATGCTCATTCCAAATTTCTATCAAAATGATGGGTGTTGGAATATGCAAATTTGGGGTTTTGCTGCTGTCAAAAATTGGAAGCCAGGTGTAGAAGTCTTCAGTTTCTTTCTCTCTGAGAAGGATGTTTTTCCTTTGGCTTCTTTTTTTTTTTTTTTTTCCTTTTGGATGTCATCTGTCTGAAGGCTTTAGAAAGAATCCACAGGAGTTGCACAATTCCAGCAATTGGTGCAACAAATTAAATAAAGAAGGTGTGTGGTTTTGATAGGGAGAAAACAAGCATGAGTATGACAGCCCCACTGGTAAACAGAGGACTTTAGGAGCTCATGCAGAGAAATCCATAAAAAAAAATAAATTAATCTCTGGACCGGGCTTGGAGTTGTATCAAATGTAATTGAAAATTTCTCAGTTTTACTCCATTTTTATCAACAAGTTCTCCACTAATGCTACTTTTCAGGAAAGCACATAAATGCACATTTCAATACAGTTAAATTCAAAACAATGTGAAAAATTATTTGAAGTCCCACCAAAATCACAAAAATTTTGTGATTTTGTGATTGTCCCACCAAAATCACAGAGGATATTTGAGGCTGGAGGGAATCTCTTCTCTAGCAGGGTTTACAAGAGCAGGTTCCTCAGGAGCAATTTAGGTGCTGATTTTATTTAATAATTTTTTTTTCCTGAATTGTGACTTCAGTTTTTCTATTGTGTTTCTGAGGTTAATGGGACACCAAGGAAATTGTGTTTTGTTGCTTTAATTTTGAGTGGCCAGGTCTGTGTCTAATGCAGTCACAGTTCTGGTGATTTTCAGGCTCTCTGCCTTATTTTGAGATGACAGCAACCCTGACATTGCAATAATTTTGGAGAGTGAATCACCCTGAAAAGAGTCACCATGAAAAAACCAGCAAATTGCTGACTTTTGGATATTTTGAGCCCATCAACAAAGGCTTCATTTCAAATTTCAGTTAATTCTGTGCCCCTAGGAACAGTGGCCAGTGCTGATGCTTCTATGGAGTGGAGCTAAGAACCTGCAGGAACTGATGATGCTGTGCCCATGCAGGAATCAGCTCAGAGAGGAGACACTCAGCTGAGTCCAAATGCTGGAGCAAAGCTGTGAAATCCCCTTTTTTTTGGAGATTTTCAAAGCTTGGCTGGATGAGGTCGTGAATAACCTGATGAAATTCCTTCTCATGGAAGGTGTCCCTGCCCATGGAAAGAGGCTGGATCTGGAGGATCTCCTTCCAGCCCAAACCATCCTGTGACTCCTGGATCTGGAGGATCTCCTTCCAGCCTAAACCATCCTGTGGCTCCATGGATTGAGAAGATTCCACGAGTGTAGAAGCCCTGTTTCAGTCAGAGTTGGTCCCACCAGAGCCTCATTAGGCTGCCCTGTGACTCTGGAATTCTTCCAGCTGGGGCTTGAAGGATTCTGACAGCTACAGGGTCTCACACCTCCTCATCAGTCTAAGATTGCCTAAAACCTGGTGTTTTTTTTTTTTTTTTTGTTGTTGTTGTTGTTGTTGTTTTTGTTTTTTGGGTTTGTTTTGTTTTTTTTTTTTTTTTTTTTTTTTTTCCCCCAGGATTCCTTTTCTTTTTGGAAGGATCTGCTGGCATTATCCCCTCATCTCTCTCTGAGAGAAGGCAGGCAGGCAGGCTGGCAGCTGGACAGGGCTGAAGGAGCGGAGCACAAACTCCAGATGATTGTCTGGAGTGGCTCAAAGTGCCATCAGGTGTGAGGCTTGGATGGAGATTTGTGGAGTTTGACTCCTTGCCCAGCCAGAGCTGGAGTTCCATCACTCAAAGGCTCCGTGTCTGGCCAGACACAGCCATTGTGTCGGGTCCTGGAAGGGGAATATCCTGACATTTCTGTCAGAGCCACTGAAGGTTTGGCTGCACAGGTCACTTCCCTTCTTTCTGGCCCCTGCTGGTGATAAATGGCTCCAGCTCCTGTGCTTGCAGAGCTGTTTGCTCGGTGCCTGTAGCAGCTCAGATCTACCTGAGGTGATTTTTGCCTTTTGGCAAAGCTGTGCTCCATGAGCTTGGCATGAGCCAGGTTTATTTAAGTCTTCACTTCTGCTCATTTGGAAAAGCCTGAGGTGGAGAGGGTGTATCTTAGTTGTGGCCTCAAGGGTATTTATTTGGAGACTTTGGAGATTTATTTATTTGGGTATTTATTTATAGGCTGAGATTTAGAGTGTCACTTTGGATTGTTATAAATTGAGCTGTTTTCTGTTTGCCTGGTTATTTATGCTGTGGTGATACTGAAGCAGTAAAATCCATTGCTCTGGCAAGATCAACCCCTGATCCCAGTGGTGTAGGGTTGTGGCCAAAGCTCCTCCATCACAGATGCCCTGTGCCCAGAGCTGTCACTGCAGAGTCTCTTCTTTAATCCTCACACCAACAGCACTGACCAGACAGCCCAGGGTGACTCCTAGAAAGGTGGGGGGCAAAATAATTCAGATTATTTTATCTGTGCCAAGTCCCAGACTGATCCATCATCCTCCAGAGAGCTGTGAGACCCCCAGGAGCTGAGGGACAGCACCCACCCTCTTCCTGAGGGGTGCTTATGGCCTCCTGCCTGCTGCAGAGCTGCTTCCATCAGGAGAACAGGGTAGGTAGCAAAATATGTCCTTTTTTAAAGGCCTGGAGAAGCCAGAATAATCCAAACTCAGGCTTGGCAAGGCGCAGCATTGCAGCACATTCCTTCACCACTGCAGCTCCAGGCTGGGCTGCACAGACAGACGAGACTGGCGAGGCAGCAGGAGCTGGGTTTGTGTATTTTGGGGGGGGGGAATAAAGATTAATGCACCAACTCTAAACTCAGGGTGGGGGAATTTCAGGAGAGCAAAGAAATGTCCTGAGTTCTGCCAGGGATTAATGGCCCAGTTCTTGTAAGAAACACAGTATTGTCTTTCCAGGATAGGCAGGGCTGAATAATTCCTTCTGCTGTGAAAAGAATAATCTCTCTCAGGCAGCACATCCAGCCAGACTTGGATGGTTTTGCTTCTAGGTACAGGTGTCCTGACTCTGTTCCTGAATCCACAGGCTGGAAGCAGCCCAGGGCTGAGTGGAGCATCACTCCCAGCAACTCAAACCAGCTGTTGGAGAAATGGTCAGAGAGGGGAGGCAGCGTTCCCTGGGACAACGGCACCGAGGTATTTCCTTGGATTTTGTTTCATTTCTGCAGAGCTCGAGTGTGTGTCCTGTGTTTTGGATTTTAATGGATTTTCACTTCAGTCTGAGGGGAGCAGGTGGACACCTGGCTGGCTCTGATTAGTTAAAATGAGGGGCATGGGAACTTTAAAACCAAAAAGTGTGGGTGCAGGGGAAGGAAGAGAGGGGTGGTTAATGCTGGGTGCTCTGCTCTCTGACCTGTCAGACACAGCTGTGACAGTGATGGCAGGGGGACAGTGCAGAGTTCTCCCTCACTGCTCCTTTTTTATCACCACCATCATATTTTCATATAAATCCTTAGTTTTGTAAAGACATCTTGCTCTTCGTGATCCTTCCAAAATAATTCTTCTGCTGATCTTCAACTGGTTGTTGGAACCTTGAGGTGGCTTTTTGTGGGCTCAGAGTTGCAAGGTGCTCCTGGTTCCCTCAGCCATTCCAACCAAACAAAAATGCTTGGGGGAATCTTGGGTAGAATTTTCTTAGTTCTGGACAAATGTGCCATGATTACCCTTAAACTGGTTTTAAGCATCTCCAGACCAGAATAATCCTGGCTGCAGCACCTCCCCAGGATATGGAGGAGGAATGTATGGACTGTGAGTCAAGAACCCAAAAATGTCCTATTGAATTCTCTATTGTGATTCAGTTACCAAAACCAGTAATTAAAATAGTTTTTGGGCTCTCCACTGGCACGAGGAACGTTACATATTGTTATGTTGTTGTTATGTTTTCCACAGGCAAACTGCCAAGCTCGGGCCAGAGTCAGGCTTGATGCCTTTTGTTTCCTGCAAAGGGAATCACAAACTTGGGGCTTTCCCTCCAAGGCCTGCAATGAGCTCTCCCAAGGAATTCCCCACCCAAAATTGGGATGCCTCCAGGCCTGGAGCATTCAGGAGGATCCAATGGAGTGGGGCAGACAAGTGGCAGCCCACCCAGTCCTTGGGACACATCTCTGCAGCCTCATTCATACCCAGCAAAGCCTACTTAGATGTTCCCTTAAATAGCTCTTACTTTAAAAGTTTATTTACATTTTTCTTACTTTAATAATTTATTTTGATTTTTCTCTTCTCTTACCTGTGCAGGGAGGGCTGTTCCCAAGCAAATGTCCTGCTACAGAACCCAACCCAGACCTGCTGAAGCAACCTCAGGAGCTTTGGGTTGAGAAAGGAGGAAAAATGTGACCAATGACCCTCTGGGAGAAGGGAGCTGCTTAATCCCCTACTCTGAATTTTCTGAGCCTCATGTTTCCACCTTTAAGGGTACCAAGAGCATCACCAGCCCCTAAATGAAAGGTTTAAAAAGTAATGTATTTTTAAAATCTAACAATGTTAGATTCTTACGTTCTAACCAGTGTTTTTTTCCCCTGGGGATCTGTTCTTTTCTCTTCTTTCATGCTTTTGTTTTAAAGTCAAGAAAGA